TTTAATACTTTAGAAAATACATCTCTTGACAGCTGTGGCCCCCTTCTTTTTCCTGAATGGTGACACCCATGATTGCATCATAGTTTATGTTTCTCCAAGAATATAGTCAGACATGTTGAAAACAAGAATATACAGAGCAAGGCTTCTTCTGCTGCTCCAGGCTGCAACCTCCGTTGCCACAAACCACATGAACTTTTGCAGACGTCTCTTGGAAGCAGTTTCATATACAGGCACTTCCTCATGTAATCCCTCACTAGTAAGCAAACATATACACTAGTGAGATTTCTGAGGTGCCTCAAACACTTCTGATGGGAAAACTGTGTCTGTGCTTGTTGCCTGAGCATTAGAAGATAAATTTCAGTAGACGGAAGTGGCAGGGAGGGAACAATTGATCTGATGAACATGGCTGATAGTCCTCTAGGATATTAATGTCAGACATGTAATAAAATAGTACCTAATCAATTGTCACTTGAATTAAATACTTCTGACCTCCCAGTCTCCTTATTGCAGTTGTTTAACAGCATGCTTGCATTTGGCCAAAGGAGTAGTATTGATTCTAAGTACATGTAACATAATTATAATAGCAATATAACAAACACCTTGGGCTGAGATCTCAGATGCTTATTCATTTTCAATTATTCATTTTTTCCTTCTGACAAATATTTTAATTATACCCATAGGCTTAGCCCCCAGGACATCAAAGGAAATATATATACTACACATATGTCAGACACCATGCTTTGTGTGGGGGTCATATCCCTGGATTAGGTGGACAGAGTCACTGCCCTCGTGGAATTTATAGGTCACATGGAGTAGGGCAGCAGACATGACACAAATAAATGTTGAAATGAAGACATGATTAAGTATGATAAGGGAAAGACAGAAAAAATACAAGAGGCAATGAGAGTATATTACCAGAACCTGGAGATCTGAACCTTGGAAGATTTAGATTTCTTGTCCAGGTGTTTTGTATTATCATATTTGCTCTTAAAATCTAAAGCATTAGAGATGATGCTAAACTAGTTAAGAAAGGAATTGTTCCATAGGAAAGAATTCTAGGAGGGTGAAGAACATTGTGATGTAACTTGACGCGTCTTTTGGTAATATAGAAAGGAAATGGTCACAAAAATCACTTCAGGGTGTAGTAGGTTACTTAACTTCATGGTTGAGGAAGTAGAGGAGAAGGAGCAAATACAAGATGTGATTGGATTTGATGACCAATAGGTTTTGGGGCCAATTTTTTTGGTACCTAGAAAGTTATCATCTTTATACAACTAAATCATGCCTCTGGTCTATAAGTAGGTCAAAGCAAGACCATAATAAAATACAAAGATAATATGAGTGCTATTGCTATAATAATAAATCCTCTTAAATATCTGAAGAGAGAATAATGTGTGAAGGTGGTGTTTCGTGGTATGTTAAATAGCTGTTACCTCAAAGGTAGCTGTGCAGTGAAGCTGAGTGAAGTGATGCCTTGGTTATAATTTGTGAAATATTGAGAGATCTGCTCAAATAAAAGACAGAACATAGGCGCTGCTGAAAATCAGCCAAGAACAGCCCATGACAGCTTTCAGAGTGCTTTATACTTCTAATAATTATGTAAACCTTTAGTCTGCCATTTATATAGATGTGTCTTACTTAATCTATTTCATCCAAATATAACTTACCTGTAGAAATTAGAACACTGTCTAATAATTCAAGAATTCTGTTTTGAGTCACTAGTGTTAATCTTCTTTGATTCTCTCCTTCCCTAAAATTGTGGTAAAGTAGTAACAAAAGACTGATTTTCAAACCAAAGTAAAAGATGCTATTCAATGTATACTTCACCAGTTGTCATCTTCAGATATAACAAGACATTGTTGAAAAGGGCACCAATTAGAAGTTTTGAAGTGGTGTAACTGCTGTAAAAATATTTGATTTCCTTTCTACATAGAAAGTCTATGTTTCTAATGACTTAAGACATCCCAAATTCACCTCAGTTCCCTACACATACCCACCATTAACTGTATCAAAACCCCTTGCTAATATTGTATGATGGTATATATATGACAGAGGCAAAGTAAAAACATTACCATTCTTCTAACTACCTGGCATTTCTATGCCCCCTTACTTCACAAAGCACTTGCTAACAAATAATTTTTACTATTCATCATAATATCCTGAGGCAGACAGCCATTGTTGCTCAAACACAGTGACACAAGATTCTGAGGTTCTGTCTATGCATTTGCTTTCCTTAGGAGTAGGTTTAAAAATTTAGTTTTAAATTTTCCAGATAAAAATCTCCTTGTGTGGGACCCAGGAATCTGTATTTATGTAAAGGTCTTCCAGGTAACTGTGTTTCAAACTATCCAAGAACTGAATTTAAGAAACATTGGTGTAGAACTGTCATAAAAATAATTTAAAGATGATAAGATACAAATTTTATTTAAAAATGAACAGAACATGTGTTTGGTATCAACAAGTTTTACAAGGCTGCTCTGGATGGGTAGGCCCCAAATGTGCTATGCTTGACAGTTCTTTTAAATTAAAGAAGCGAGACATCATTTTAATTTTTTCCAGCACCTACACCTTCTACCTCAACCGCCCCTGCCCCTGCGGTCATCGCACTGTTGATTGCCACGTATCAGTGAATCTCAGAGGGAAGGGAAGAAGAGAGAGAGTAGTTTCAAGATGATACACTCAACATGACTAAGTGATTAAATGGGGAATGGAAACCAGGAAAAGGGGGGAGTAAAAAATAGTTTTGCTATCCAGGTAACTGGAATTTTGGGATACTCTTAATAATATGAAATTTGGGGCAAGAGAGGTTGTGTGAGTTTATGAGGGGCAGGTTGTTGAGAAATATGTTCCAAGTGTCTGAAGGGGCATCCATGTAGTTTGAATGGGCAGCATCTGGAAGCATTTTGAAATAAGAATCTGTGTTAAAAAATGAGGGAAGGAATAAAGGATGTGGGTAGGAGGTTGGAGAGAGAGAGCATGAGCACTGAATGATAAATAAATCTTATATTCTAGTTTGTTCCTAAGATGTACTCAGATCCTTCCCTCAATGTCTGTGGTTTATCTGCATTACCACACTCTAATCACATTGCTTCCTGTTCCTTGTGTGTTTTTTCAGTCCAGAAACAGTTAAAAATCAATGATGAAAGAATTGTCATTAGATTCCTCTCCAAAAGGAGAGAGATGTAGGGACTAAAGGGAACACAGAGCCAGAATGAGGATGTATTATTTCCTGGTCCTCAGAACATAATATGCTGGAATGTGGACCACAGCTAATAATACCAGAATTTGATTATAACCACAGCAATTATGTCGACAACAAGACCACCAATAGAAATAAACTATGATGACTATTAGCATGTTAAATGTAATTAAAATTACAAGCATAGCAATATAACTGTATGTCTTTCTATTTAAGTATCACTCCCCATACTCAATGTTTTATAATAAATTTGACATGATAAGAAATAACATAGGTCACTTCCTACCTTGATAAATCATATGTTGTTGGGTGCAGGACCAGATGAAGAGGAATACTCAACGATGATATCATGGGATGACAAAGATGACAAAGGAAAAGAGCCAGCTTTTGGAACACAATTACTGCAAAATGTACATGATTATCATTGCACCTGCAAAGCATCATGACTTTACTAGTTAGAAATAACTTCATTAATACCCTTAAAACTAAAACTGTCAATATGGCTGAGCAATTTTGCCTATATTAATTGCACTTCCTGCCTCATAGAGATGTGAATCAAGAATAATTTATACGGCAAGAGTAGCTTACCTTTCCTTACCTTTTTAGGGTTACCAACAATACCAAAACATCTGTGCTTTAATTAGAAAAACATCAATGTTTCAGTTGCCCCGCATGTCTCATATGAGTTAATGTGTGAAGATGGCCGAGCTCTGCAGTGTTGTCAGTAGGGACCCTTGTCTGGAGCTTCCCCATCTTGTAGCTGCACCATCTGAAACACATCCTCAGAAGAACAAGAGTGATCACAGGACTTGAAAGCATGTGTACGAAATAGAAATGTTTCATATCTGTTTATTTAAAAACAAATTAACTTCTTTTTATTTATTGTAACTCTATTTTTATTATTACACTATGACACGCAATAGTTGTACCTTTTACATTTATTCTTTTTTTCCTTTTTCTTTTTTAATTTAGTTCATTCTGCTTTTGACTCATGGTGTAAAAAGGAGCAAGCTTTTCCCATAGGAAGTGAGGAAAGTGCACGATGATGGAGGTGTGAGGGTTACCCAGAGAAAGGACACATGGGAAGAGCACCGTCTGTTGACCTCCTGGGTGCTGGTAACTTGTCCCTGACACAGTTGTGCCACCATTATGTCTGGAAGGCTTCTCGTCTGGCCTGCCAAGGCCAGGAAGGAACGAAAGCCGCTAATTAACTGGTGGACTGCGAAGTTCAGTACGGTTATGGAAGAATTTCCTCAGCAGGCTCACAGTGAACAACCTAACATTTTATTTTTACCGCGCACGATGACAGCTGCCACCACTGAGCTCAGAGTACTAGAGCTCTTTCACTGATTCTCTTCTGCATCACACTCTGCATTTCAAAGGGCAGCTCTCCAGACTTTCTGGATCATGATTTTGTCCCTAGTAAGGTGTTTAGGACCTGAATGTAGATAAGCTTAACTGATCGTTACAGAATTGAATTGATATTCTGAGTATTCAGGCAAGCGGTAGACTATATCATCGGAATTCACTTTCTTCCTATTCAAATATTCTCACTAGAATAATCTGCAAAGGGGGAAAACACAGTGACTGGGTGCTATGCTGGTGTAGGTCCTAGAACTCACTGAAGCATTAACTTCCCCAACTGTCCGACTAGGTGGCACTGTTCTTAAGTTTCTGTTCTCCTTCCTTTGTTTCATTCCTATCCTTTGCATTTCAGTTTCATTTCTCACTCTTTTCCTGTTGAGAACTCCTCTGTGGCGAGCTGGTCCCTGGCTTGGTGAGTAAATGTTGAGCAGGCCTGCAGCTGACCTTCTCCACTGGTTCAATTCTCCTGCACTTCTCCTGTAGGTAAGTGGGGCAGTTTCTGAGGACGAAGGAAAGGAGGCTTTGTGGGAAGAGACCGAATGTGATTGGTGACTTAAAATGTGGTTCTGCAGCTGCTCTGGTTATGGCTGTCCCTGCTGAGGTGGCAGAAAAGAGGAACATTGGGCCTGGGGAAAGAGCACCTTTAAAGAAGGGAGGTTTGAAAGAGCAAAGAGTCATACTTGTTTCTTGGAGGGACCATTATATCTCCAGGCTGAGTTACTCTCATCTTCCTCTTCTCCGGTTTTGACTTTCTTCCTTGCCAAGGTGAGCCAGAATCCTCAGACCCTTTGTTGTTTCCCAGGCAGATGATCCCTTCCTCCTTTTCCCCACTGAAACCTGTGAGGTGGAGCCTTCTTCTCCCTCTTCCTGAAGCCCAAGCTCCTGGTGGGGGCCAGAAGAAATCAGAGCCCTTCCCCGGGAGCATCTGGTGGGGCAAGTTTAGGGGCCCTGCCAGGGATGAGCGAGAGCCTCTTGAAGCGGATCCTTTTACTCTTTTGTTAAATTACTGTCATCTTTTACAAAAATGTATTCTTAAATATACAGTGAGTTCCAAGACGATTCATTCTAGCTCTAAGTGGCAGCAGGTGTTATGGAAAGGTACTCAGATGTTAAAATGGGACTGGAATTAAGGATCACCATTTCCCCAGGCACAGGAAACAGCTCACTTCTGGCCAGATTTCTTGGTATCGCCTGTGTCCTGGGGGGCCCATCCCCATGGCCTTTGCTTTCAGCAACTCGACTTTCTTCTGTTCCCCTTTTTGATTCTGTTTGAGTTCCTTGTTTTCCTAGTCCATCTTCTTGGCCTGCATCTTGGGCTGCTTCAGGGGCTTTTTCTTGCCACCCTTGAGACCAGACATGACCCTTGCCGCCCCTTCCCTAGACCCTGATCCTTTTACTTTTGTCTTGGTAACTTCTGGCAGCTGTGCACAACCTTCCTGATAAATGAGCAGCCCTTTGGCAAGCCTGCTTTTCTCTTTGGGGGTCTGGGAGAAGAACCCCTGAATTCCACGGCTTACTCTGACCTCAGTTTACAGTGTCCTCTCCTGCTTCAAAACACATTCTGCGTCATCTTAGACATACCCTTCCATTGTTTATTACATTAACCCGTTACTTAACATTTCCCTAGCTTGGCGCTGAAAAAAAAAAAGGAGTTGGGGATTTTTCAGGAAGAGCTCCATCTTAATTTCACCCTGTGCTACTTTTCCTTTGATCTCTGTGACATATATTTTAATGCAAAATGTACTTTCCTTGCTTCCTTCCTCTCAGAGAACATGAGTCTGTGTCTAACGTTCATATATGGTGTATATTAATTGAATTCTCAGGCATTTTTACAAATCACCCAACAGGGGAAAGAAAAGTATTATACATTTTGAAATTTTTATTAAAATCAAAATAACAAAGGGATACAGCTCTGGTTAAAAAAAAAAACACCACATCTATTGAACATACAACAATTATGTACTTACAAAAATTACATTTTGGGATAGAGTGAGGAGGTATAACACGAGAAAAAAATTTCTGTGTTATAAATGTAAAACAGACAACAACAGTAATAAACCAAATGGGCTACAACATGGCAAGGCATCTATTGTGCCCTGATCAAGGGCTTTGAAATTTTAAATAAAATTCAGATTAGTTCTCTGTGTGAGAAGGTGGTTTTGATTAGAGTCTTCAAGGAAATGATGTTTTTTGTACTGATTGATTAAGGAACATGAAGACAGCCACTGCGGGTTGGGGGGTAGGTGGGCTGAGAGGGTGAGGCAGCAGAGGGGGATGTGTAATTGGACTGAACTAGACCATGATGAGAAGATCAACTCACTGATGATGTGCATCTGAACAAAGGAGTCACACCGTTAATGTATATTTTAGAGTATCACTTTGGCTGATGGTGAACAATGATGTTAGAAGACTGTAATGAGACCAGTGACAGGATCAGGAAGACTAGTGGGAAACCATTTCTGGATCCAGGTGAAAGACTGAGTTGGATGGGGCCTAATTTGAAGACAGTACTGCAGGGTTTTCTGATGAACTGACTGTGAGAGAAAAGGATGAGATTAGGGGTAGCTTTTTGAAGATGACCTCTGTTACCAAATGACTTCTTGGAAACAAATTGACCTGAGGTAGAGCATTGGGGCGAGGTTCATTAATGTGGTGCCCATTAAACCCTGGCCTTGAAGGAGGTTGGGTAGGAGAAAAGATAATCAGTATAGAGGAATGTGGAGGAATTGCAATGTTTCTGAGGTGGCCAGGTGTCTGGATGCCAAGAACAGGCTCACCTTCTCATGGGTAGTTTTCTTCAAGGTGCAGTAGAGGTTTCAAGGGTGTTGGCTAAACCCCTCAGAGGACTTTTACAACATTGTGGAGACACGTTCATTTTCCTTGTCTGACCTGTACAGGTACAGAAAGCCCTGTGCAGACAATTAAGATACAGTGAGATAAGAAAACTGAGATGTTGCAGTGAGAACAGTGACGAACAAAGACCATTCGCTGATCTGGATGCTAAGATGAGAAGCAGAGGACTCAGCAGCACAAGGCTGAAGAGCCCCGAGCAGGGCTTTCTCATCATATTTATTAACCAGGGAAAGAATGAGGGTGGATAACAACGCATTCAAAGCAAAAACAAATGTTAGTACATCCCAGCTATTTAAGGCTCAAATGTTTCTATAACTTGAGCTAGAGGCCATTCCATGCCTCTAGCGAATTCCAAGGAACAAACAAGATAGTTCAGTTCTTGGAGGCGTGCCACCAAGATATTCTGCATTCCAGCTTGCCAGTCATGTCAGGATGAACATCTGTTTACTTGTTCCACTTCATTTTGCCAGACACATGTGTGAGAACAACTCATTTCTCAAGGCCTTCCTCCACACTGAGACCCTAGTTGGCCATTACCATACTTTGTGAAAACTCATACATTGTACCATCTCCAAAAGCAAGAATACATTCTGTTTCTGTCTGTCTATCATTCTGTCTGTCTGTTATCTGTCTTAAGTGGAAGAGTTTCAATGGCATAATGCTTCTTCAATGATAGAATACAGTAAATGAAGAAAAGAAAAACAAATACATGTGTCAATTTTCTAGGGCTGTCTTACAAAAGTACTGTAAACTAGGTGGCTTAACTGAATTTGTTCTCACAGTTCTGGAGGCTAGAAATAAAACATCAGTGATGTTGGCAGGGCCAGGTCCTCTCAGAGCTGTGAGGGAAGCAGCAGCTCCACGCCTCTCTGCTGGGTCCACTCCTGATAGTTGGCTTGCACTCGCCGGCATCCCTTCTCGTAGAGTTGCATCCCCTGATCTCCACTATTGTCTTCAAATGGCATTCTCCAGGCATGCATGTTTATCTATATACAAATTTCTCCTTTTTCTAAAGACACAGTCATGTTGGATTAACACATATCTTAATGGTTTCATTTTAACATGATCATCTGCAAAGACACAATTTCCAAACAAAGTTTCACTTCAACATTCTGGGGCTTAGATTTCAACATCTCTTGGAAGGACACAGCTCAACTCATAATAGCCTTTAATGTGCTTGGAACAAGATAGAGTTTATTTCTCCTGGATACGACCTCCCTACATATTGAGTCTTCTTTCTCATTACTGACAGATGCCTCATTGTAATTTATGTCCCTCAAGTCTCTGTCATGTATGTATCCTAAGTATGTGAACACATCTCTTTCTCCCTAAAAACACACCCATTTATGTGTCTATCGACACATTGCCTTATGTTCAGGCCAAGGTATAGGCCAAAATCTACAAACACAAGACTCCCCAGAACTACCCAGATTGTTTTGTTCTCTCTCATAGCCCCATAGCATTGAGTATCAATCCAGTTCTTGCAACCTCTACTTCTATTTGATCTGTGCAATAGCGGAGAGAACACTCAATGGCATTTTTGATGATGGTATGTTTCCCAACAACTCTACCTATTTTAAAAGAATGACCTTGAACTCTGCACATCATTTATTTATTTATACATCTAAAGAATATTCTTTTATATTTTCAAACTTATTTTTGTTATTTTGTTTTAGTTTAATTTTCAATTAAATTTGACATTCATTATAATTCTGTATTAGTCTCAGATTTATAGCATCATGTTTAGATAATCATATACTTTACAGAGCAGTCCCTCCCTAACTGACATTTCAAGTACCCACCTGCACCATACATAGTTATTACCATATTATTGACTATATTTTCTATGCTCTACTTTTACATTTCCACGTCGACTTTGTGACTATTTTGTGTAATCCTTAATCCAAGAAGAGAGTACTCATTTTCCAATAATTTCATATAAGAAATAAATAAATTTCTAAATTACAGCTGGTTTCAAAATTATTAGTAATAAAATGAGGTCTCTGTTGTGGTCTTTGCTGCCTCTGTAGGTTTCTCTGGGGAACGAGTTGGAGGGCATGGGGACGCTCTGTGTGGGACAGGTGTGTTGGCAAGGAAACAATTCCCAGGTATTGGAGAACTGCTCGTAATGGAATAAAAGTGAAAGCTGATTAAAGAATTCCAACCTTCCATGGAGAGATGGGGAGCGTCTATTTTCTGTGTTCATCAAACCTTGTGTTCCTGTACGATACCCTCTTTTAGGCACTGAGGACACAGCAGTGGACAAAGTGGTGTCCAGCCTATGCATGAATTCATTTTTAAGAAGAAAAAATAAACAATTAAAGAAAGATGGTCTACATTTTAAAGTAATATAAGAAAAATATAGCAGTTGTAGAGCAAGTAATGGTATTAGCAGTTATGCTATAGATACACTGGAGCAGGCCCTTCTGATAAGAGGTCATGTGAGAGGGAGATTGAATAAAATGTGAGAACTCAGGGTGACGTCAGGGAGAAGATCATTCCATGCAGAGACAGACAAGTTCAAAGCCTCAGAGGCAGCAGTGGGTTTTGTGCTTTTAATATGAAGATTATGTTTGTTGCATGAGAGAGAAAGGTAGGAGGAATGAATCTCAATGATAGCATTGAAACTGGAAAAATTATGACTCAAGAGGCCATATGATTCCACTGTTATGAATTTATCAGTAGAGGTAAATCTATAAAAACACAAGGGAGATTAATGGTAGCCTGGGGCTCGGGGTCAGAATAGGGGTGACTGCTCATGGCATAGCTTTTTTCAGGAAATAAATATGTTCTAAATTTGGAATTTGGTAATAATTATACCATTCCATAAATTTACTAGAAATTATGGTACTTTAAAAAAAATACATGTGATGTAAATATAACTCCATGAAATTGTTAAAAAAAAATAATTCATGTGAGTGATAGGGGTAGGTTATTCCACACAGAGAGAAGGAGAAGTATAAAAACTTAGCAGGCTTCAGTAAAGTTAGTGTACTTATCATGTTGGTTGTGTTTGGGGAAGGGGAAAATAGATAAGTCTAATGATGGGCAGCACAAAGCTCTTGGCAGGAAGGGCCTCAATTTATCCTTCTATCCAGTAGAAAAAGAGAAAATATCAATGAGTCATTGCCTGGATGAGATGAAATGTGTCACGTGACATGAAATAAGAGTGAAGCGTTTGAAAGCATTAGGAAGAACCCTTTTCATTCTGTCACTGACCTACCTTCTCTCCCTCTCTTTTCCTTTCCTGGGTATTAATGTTTTGTTCTGTTCTAAAAATCTGCACATCAGTGTCCTTTCCTTTTCTGCCATTCTTATCCTGCCCCCTCTGTATTACCAGCCCCTCAGGAGTTTGTGAGAAAGAAGAGCCTCCAGAGTCAGGACAGGAAGAAGCCAGGGGAGCTTGGCCATGGATTTTTCATCACAAGTGAGCATTCAGGAGGTGACCTGCCCCATCTGCCAGGAGCTCTTCACAGAGCCCATGAGCTTGGACTGTGGCCACAGCTTCTGCGCAGCCTGCATCACTGAAAACAGTAAATCAGGGAGCCCCGTAGGATTGGAATGCTGCTGTCCGGTTTGCCAGAGCAGATACCAGCCTTGGAAACTCCTGTTTAATTGGGAGCTGGCGGACACAGTGGAGAAATTCAGGGAGGTCAATGGGAGTCCACACCAGCAAAGGAGGAGAGATCTCTGTGAGCACCATGGGGAAGATTACTGTATCTTCTGTAAGGACGATGGGAAGCCTATTTGCAGGTTATGTGTCCAGGAGCACCAAGGTCACCAAATGTCCCTCATTGCAGAGGTGGTCAAGGAATGCCAGGTAAGCCCCAGGGTGGGGAAACATTGCACAGAATGGTACCTGAAGTGAAATCTTCACTTTTTAATCCTATCTATTCCCATTGTCATCATAGATCTGAGCCCTGCATTCTCTTCTCATACCCCTGGCTCAGCTTCTGAGGCTTAGTGAACATTTCTGTGCATTTGTTCATTTTCTTCAAGAATATGTGTAGACTGCCCATTCTTAGCAAAGGGAAGTTGTATGACTGAGGGTTGCTTCCCAAGATAAGTTCTGATTGCCCATCAAGCAGATGGGATTTTTAGGAACAAGTTTGCTTAGATGAGAGAAAAGAGTCCATGAGAAGAAAGGATTTTACTTGCTGCAGGATCAGGTTTTTCTCTAGGAAAAGAGAGGTGCAAATTACTCTTGATAGAGTATGGTAACTTGTGCATCACAGAGGGATAAGCAACACATTCACCTCAGATTTCTGTTACATTCTCAGTTCTTATTGCCAGTTTCACTTCTGAAACTTATTCCTTCTGAGGTGAGTCTGATTTTTTTCTCCATTTATCCTTAATCTATGTGCTGAGAAAGCTCATAGCTTGACTTTGGTGATTTCTTTCTCAAGGAGAGACTCCAGGAAGCTCTGAATAAGCTGACACAGGAGCAGAAAGAAGCTGAGCAGTTGGAAGCTGGCATCAATAAAGAGAGAGTTGCCTGGAAGGTAGGAAGACAGTAGTCCTGAGAGAGTTCTGAGACAGGAAACTGGGCAGTATCTTGGTCCAATTTCAAGGAGGCCCCTTCCTACTTGGTGCTTCACAAGTAATGAGCCCAGAAGATATTTGATTAGTCCTCTCTCAATTCCTTCCCTATAGAGTGTTGGGAGCTACAGAGTAGACATGTTAGAAGTGAAAGCAGCTGTTTTGGAGGAAAAGGCATAGAGGGAAAAGCAATGTAAAAATTATCCATGAATCCCATCACCCATTTCTGCCATTAAGTATGAGACTCTGATACTTCCAGAAAACACCTTAAGAAAGTTCCAGGATTCCCTTTTTTTGCATATTTGGGTGGGAATTTCATATACTATGTGGCAGGATTGCCCAGAATGGGTGTGTGCAACCCAGGCTTCATCCAGGCAGCATGTTGTGTCTGCTGGTGGGCCTTGAGGAAGTAGACTCGAGTGAATTACTCATAGAAGAGCTCTGGGGAATATAGTAGGAAAAATGGTTTTTTCCCAGAAATTGCTTTTTCCCTTTTCCCTCTTAAGTGCCTGAAGAAATTATTTCTTGTCTTAGTTCCCAAGGTTCATGAAAGACTGACTGCCTCTTTCTCTTCTCATCCCCAAAGAACCATATGTATGTTGAGAGAGAGAGGATTCTGCAAGGGTTTGAGGAAATGAGACACATCCTGGACAGAGAGGAACAGAGGGAGCTGCAAAAGCTGGAGGATGATGAAGTGCATGTGCTGGACAACTTGACTGTGGCCAAAGACCAGGTGGTCCAGCAGAAGCAGTATATAAGCGAGCTCGTCTCAGATCTCCAGCGTCATATGCGTGAATCCTCTATAGACATGTTGCAGGTAAGACTTGGGATGGAGCTCCCACAAATGAGATTTGAAGAAACAAAGAAGTTAAGTTTCTTTCCCTTCTGGGTCCCTTCATCTTCTTTCCTACTAAAAGATTCCATTGAACCTTCAGGACCCCTTATTTCAAGGGTCATTGGGAAATTCAATATAAAAATGGCAAGAGATATTCCCATTACTATTATTTCTAAAGGGCTGTGCAAAAAACTTGAGATAAGAGTCTTTATAAGCTTCTGTTATCTGTGATCTAGCATTTGTAAGGCATTTCTTCACTGAGCCTAGACAAAAAACTCACATCTCTCTTTGGGTTTGAGTTTGTTGTTTTAAGGAGTGGCAGATGTAATGATAGACTTAATACTTAGTGATGGATTAGCACCTATGAATAGTCGTGTGTGTGGGTGTTTGCACTGGCTAGGGAAAGATTGGAGGAAACCCATAGAGACTTGATAAAGGGATGGTACTTAATAAGGATGTTTAATTTTTTTCAAGAAATTAACTGCATGACTATAATCATAAGCTATGAAATGTATGGAGAACAGGAAATTTCAGATTTTTTTTTTTTTGCTTGATTTCTTGCCATTCTCCTTTGCTAGCTGAAAAAGGATTTCTTTTTTTTTTATTGTTGTTCGATTACAGTTGTCCCCATGTTCCCTCCATTAGTCTTTGCCTGCCCTACTCACCCCACCTCCCGCATTCAGTCCTCCCCATCTCGCTGTCTTTGTCCATTCATCCTTCATACATGTTCCTTGATGACCCTTCCCCTGCTTTTCCCCATTATATCTCTCCCTCCTCCCCTCTGGTTATTGTCAGTTTGTTCTTTATCTCCATGCCTCTGGTTCTATTTTGCTTGCTTGTTTGTTTTGTCGATTAGGTTCCACTTATAGGTGAGATCATATGGTATTTGTCTTTGACTCTCTGGCTTATTTCACTAAGGATAATGCTTTCCAATTCCACCCACGCTGTCACAAAGTGTTAGGATTTCCTTCTCTCAGTTACATAGTGTTCTATCATGTGAATGTACCAATGTTTTTTGATCCACTCATCTACTGATGGGCACTTAGGCTATTTCCAGCACTTGGCTATTATAACTCATGCTGCTAGGAGCACTGAGGTGCATAGGTTCTTTTGAATTGGTGTTTTGGGGTTCTTAGGGTATACCTCCAGCAGAAGAATAGCTGCATCAAAGGCAGTTCCATTTTTACCTTTTTGAGGAAATTCCATACTCTTTTCCACAGTGACTGCACCACGCTGCATTCCCACTAACAGTGCACTAGGGTTTCCTTTTCTCCACAGCCTCGCTAGCACTTGTTCATCGATTTTTTTATGATGGCAATTCTGACCGGTGTTGAACAAGAATTTCTTAACTTTGGCTCCAGTACTGGAGTAATCAATTTCTATCTGCTAAGTCTTTACTTCTGCCTTAAAAAAAAAACCACACACATTTCTTAAAGTATAAATTATATATGAAATCACCCATTATAAGTATGCAATCCTAGGATTTTTAGTAAATATATTGAGATTCTTTGTTTACCTGGTTTTTTTGGTTATTCTGTACCAGTTGTCCCAGTTTTCCCCCCTTTGCCCTCCTCCACCCAATCCCACCCCCCGCTCCCACAGTCAATCCCCACACCATCGTCCATGTTCATGGGTCATTCATACATGTTTGAAGTATACCTACTTCCTGAGTTTCTCTTTTATTTTAAATTTAAGCCAGTTTTAACTCGGTTTTTTGTCATGTACAATAACAACACGTACAGTAATAACAAAAACAATACAGAGAGTAAAACTTGTTGAGGATGTACAGCCAAGTCTTTGTTGGTAAAGGATTGAAGCTAAAGATGGGGAAACCAAATACTTTGGTGTATTTCCATTCAAAACATCAGGCCGATAATGTTAAAATGGGGAAAAGAACGTGGCTAAAAGAAGCTGACGGTATGTACCAAACTGGCTTAATACCATATTAAAATTTAGGGTAAGATATACCTTTTAAGACAGTGATGGAGACGATATTGATCTGGGCAATGGAATGTAAACGGTTGGAAAACAGACAATTACATTTTAGACTTTTCTGCTGCTGGTTTCCATGGTCTGTTTCATACTTAAAAATTGATGAGATTCCCCTCAGGTTGTATCAGGGCGTAGGGGTTATATAGAAAAGTAGAGGGAGGCCAGAGAAACATTTGTTTAAGGAGCTACTTTGCTTGTTCCTGCAGAAAAAAAATATATACTTCCCGAGGACTATAATTATTAATTATTCACTTTTGATTCCCCAGAACTTGGAATGATGTCTGACAAATAGAAGATTTTACCTTTATTTGCCTCTAGAATAAATAAAAGCATAATGATTTAAAGGGTCTTCCCATGAATATATATTTAAAAACTGTAGTCCTACTTTCTTCATTTTAAATATATTACATCTCCAGATCCTTGAAGCATCTTTCTAACGTCCTCACCTCAATCCTCTGGGAAGGAGGATCTGGATCTTATCTCTACCATTTGTCTGTATTTATTTATTCTGACCATCTTTTTATTCACACCATATCAAGGGGAGCTAGGAGTGTGGGGAGGACAGTGAATAAAACTTTGTAAGGTAGGAGGGTTTACTACTCCTGCAAGGGTTGACAGACAAAATAAGCAATGTGTAGTTAAATTTGAATTTCAGATAAATGGCACATCATTTTTTAGCAGAAGAGTATCCGAAATAATGCAGAGATGATGATTATACTAAGACATATTTAGAATTTATCCACAATTAAATTTTAAGTGCCCACATTATTTTGTAAATCTGGAAACCTTACACTTGACTTATGTATTCTCTCTCCTCCCCAGGATGTGATTAACACCTTGAGAAGGTATGTGTGCGAGACCAGGCATGGTCCTTCTTTTGTGTGATGACAGAATTATAACTACAAGAGTAATCTGAATCAAACATAATATTTAAAAGTTGCATAATTTTTAAAAATTAGGGTATTACATGTTTCAAATTGCTGATGACAGCTGAAACTTTTAAATAGTAAGGACCTTGTGTCGTGGAAGGCTAAAGAGCTGGCAGTGAATAGCAGCATTGGAAATAAGGAGTTGCAGCATCAGAACTGAAAGGCTTCACTCATTGTAGTCAGACCTCAGTCTCTGCCTCAGTGCTCATTTCGATAATTCACAGGTGCCTGTCTTGCCATAGGGAGGACCTTGTCCTCTTTATCTGCTAGGCCCCCAAGTTTTCTGCAAATGAGAGTTTTGCAAAGTCTTTCTAAGTGATGTCTTTTGGGTTGCAATAGATAAATAAATAACTCAACTCTCAGAGAGTAAACACTTTAGTCCGAGTGCCAATAACTAACTTCTTTTTGTTTAAACACTTTAGCATCTTATAGGAAAAAAAATGGTTTTATTTGTCTAAAGTTGCCTACCTACTTGGCAAGCATCAAGGACATGAAATTGAGATCGTTATTAATCTGGATGTCATAGCTTCTCCTTTCCCAAATATTTGTAACATTTTCCCAGAGAATGTGACCTCATATATCATTCTCAGCATCTTCACTGAGATAACAGGCTGAGGAGGCCTTCAGGCTTTAGATGAAGGAGCACTACACCTGACAGCCTAAAACTCTCAGTAGCGTAGTTCTAGATCCTCTCCACTAACCGACTGCAAGGGAACCCGTATTTCTGGCCTCGTCCTAGAGGAACCAATAACATAAGAGTGACTTTTCCTTATATCAAATAAATTTTGTTTTAAAGCACCAAAGAACTTTTGAAGGTAAAATTATTCCATCTCATACTACATTGTTTTTAAGAGGTAGAGAGTACGGAGTTAATTTTTCCATTTTAGAAGGAAGAACATGGGCTTCGTGAGAAGCCATTCCAAGGTCACTCACAGGCTAAATGGAAAGGTAGAAATGAAAACATTTTTTCCATCTGCAGTGTTAAGGGTCTCACCTCTCTCACCCTCAGGAACTTCAGGGAAGCAGAGTTGAGTGAGGAGATATCAGTGGAGGGAAAGGTGAGGGAGACATTGCTCTAGGAGAAGCACAAAGTTGGAAGCGTGGGAAATCAATTTTTTTTGCCTCTAGGAGTGAGATCTGGACCTTGAAGCAGCCAAAAATTGTTCCTAAGAAACTGAAGAGTACATTCCAAGTTCCAGATCTCAGTGGGATGCTGCAGAAGTTTAAAGGTGAGGGGAGTCCAGGGAAAGGTGTGGATGTGGGATTCTCCTAGTGTCAGAGCAAAATGGGGGAGTGGATGTTATTTCCACATGAGATGAAAGAGAAGTAGTCCTGACAGGAAGTGACAAATTCCTTCTGGTGAAGATGCCAACATATCAGATGGAAGGGCCAGGTGTCCTCTCTTTCTCCCGTTGACAGCCTCAAAGGACTCCCCTTTTCTGTTCCTACTCGAGAGAAAAGACAGGTACAGTGTTTCCACCTTTGTTCTAACAACATCATTGAAACTTTTGTCATTTCAGAGCTGACAGAAGTCCAAAGCTACTGGGGTAAGAAGTCACAAGTTCTTCAAATCACCATGTTCTGACCTCTTTTCAGAAGTTCTGGTATTATTAAGTGCCACAATCTTAGTACCGTGTTTTCCTCCCACATGTGCATACCAACAGCAGTTCTAAAGTGAGCTATCCATCACTGACCCGTTCCCTCATGTTCCTCCCAGTCGATTCCCAATATTCCTCCACACAGTGTCACAAGACACACCTGCCTTGTGTATTCACCTGACTGTGTTATTTTTCCTACAGTGGACTTGAGGCTGCAACCACTCAATGCTCATTCGAATGTTGTCATTTCTGCGGATCAGAGACAGGTGACAGCTGGTCAATATTCTATGTTTAACAATGTATATCCATGTAATTTTTCTGCTTTTGACGTTGTGGGCAGCCAGAATTTCTCCTCGGGGAAGTATTACTGGGAAGTTGATGTGTCTGGGAAGATTGCCTGGATCTTGGGGGTATACGGTAAAACAAGTAACCTCAATAAAAAGAAAAGCTCTGGGTTTGTTTTTAACCCAAATGTAAATAATTCAAACACTTACTCCAGGTTCAGGCCTGAGAATGGCTACTGGGTTATAGGCTTACAGAATGAGTCTGAGTACAATGCCTTTGAGGACTCTCCCACCTCAGATTTCAAGGTCTTGATTCTTTCCATGGCTGTTCCTCCCTGTCGAGTGGGGGTTTTCATAGACTTTGAAGCAGGCACTGTCTCATTTTTTAATGTCACAAACCAAGGGTCGCTCATCTATAAGTTCTCTAAGTGTCGCTTTTCTCAGACTGTTTATCCATATTTCAATCCTTGGAACTGTCCGCGTCCCATGACTCTGTGCCCGCCGGGCTCCTGAGCCCTCCCCTCCCTCCCCCACTCCCGCGTAGCCCCCCTTGTCCTGGGGCCCACCTCCTGCCCCTGAGCCAGCTGCTCCATTCAGGCCATCTCTGCCTTGCTGTGTCCCTTCTTCAGAGCTTTTAGTCATTTTGTGGATTTGCAGTGTTTCTGATTTAGGTTAGAAGGGAAGCTTATTTACTCATTTACCATTTTCTGTATTCTCAGTGAGAGGCATCTAATCTCTCCTAAAGACAGAGTAGTATTGGTATAACATCTCTCCCATCCCATTTCTCCATCTTTTTCTCTATCAATGCTCTTAAAAGGCATGAAGCTCCTGTCTCCACCAACCATGATCTCAGGACAATCCACAATCACCCCCCCGCACCCCTCACGAAGGGGTATCTGAGTGTATGTCTGTGTGTTGCCCCTCATACAGCAGCAGGCTGTTCTGAGAGTTGAGGGGAAAAAAACAAAAACAAAAGTAATATATATACCCAGAATGAAAATTTTTTGTTCAGGTTATTTGAATTCAGATCCTGTCTCTTCTCATAAAAGGTGTGTAACGATGAATAATTTTGTTTTTTCTCATAAAATACAAATTGTAACTTCAAGCTGCACCTAACTCTGAAGATTGTTGTGTGAAACTAACCTCCACTGAATGGAAAGCTCCTATGTTCGTGTCCAGCACAGTGGTAGTACATACTTGCTGTCATGTCGCTGAGAAGCATAGGCTGGGGTGACCTGGGCAACAGGTCTGTGCCCTTCCGAGGAGCAGTAAGCGCTCCTGCTGCCGCTCATTTGGGAATGGGTCAGAAAACGCACAAGTATGTGTGTCCCAGGTCTGTCCAGCAGGGGGAGCCATGTCTGGGGACAGCTATTCTTTGAGGGGCAGCCTTTTGGTCTTCAGGACTTTTTCTGATGGTGAAGCACCCAAGTGTAACACCCTATACCATCCCATGCACTTTTCTCATCCTTACTTTTAAAATCAGTGTCAAATTATGGTGAGGGATTGATTTACCCAGGATAGGAAAGGAACAAACCTTTCTTAGAGAAACACACGTTATAAATTAGGACAGGCTATTGAACAGAACCCACGTCAAGGTGTATAGTGGTAATTTCTTGTCCCAGTGGAATAAAATGGAAGAACTTGTCTGGAAAAATGTGTACATGCACATTTCTACTTACACACAAACACATACATACACAACACACGGATATATACTCATTATTGGATATATGTATTAACCTGTAGGGAGTAGCTCAATCTCAGTTAATTTTTTAAAATATCATAAAAGAAAGAATTCTTTGTCAGGGAAGTTATAAACTTATGAGGTATATTCGACTGTCCTCTAGCTAGTGAGTGGAAGCGCCAAGATTGGAACTGGGCCTGTGTTTCTCCACCACAGATGCCCTTTCTGCTGGTCACTCCCCAGGAAAGATAGGAACCAAATTCCGTAGGATGTGGTATAGAAGGGAAAAACCCAGGAAATGCTGACTTATAGAAGAAGAGCCTGGAGCATCATGAAATACTTAATTGCCAAGATATATTGAATGTTGTGCTTAATCCACGTAGACATTAATGAAGAAGGAACTGCTCAGTATAATGTTTAAAGCCACGCTGAGTACTTCATGACCAGGGTGCTCTTGCAGGCGACGTATTGTAGAGAGTGAACACAGTGCACAGTTGAGCCTTGATCTTGAAATCTGATAAAATTTCATAATCACACTGATATTGCTGCTCACTTGTCTATATTAAATTAAATTGGATTCAGATTTTCATCAGAAACAAAAAATACTAAGATTAACATAAGAGCATCAGGGAATTTGAAAAATAGAATACTTGCACAAACTTTCTAATTCGTTAGCATATAAGCAGTGGTCTATATTGCTGTTAATTTTCTCTGTGATTTGAAACAATGAAAGTTCAAAATGAATATTAATGTACTTCAAATTTTAATGGCTTTGTTATGCTTTGAGATAGAATTTATTGATTGAGGAACCACACCATTTTAATCTTACCGTTTGCATAAAAATACTTGTTTTTTTAAATTTCAAATACATTTTATCTTACAGTTTTCGAGTATACAGTTCTAATTGCTATTCTCTAACCATTCTATTTGAATTTACTATTTAATATCTGCTATAAGTCACATTGTCTTTTTTATTGTGGTAAAAACACTTAATATGGGATCTAACCACTTACATTGTTAAGTCATTGCAGTTCTCCAAGTTTAATCTTCAGTGTTGCAAGATGAAAACATTCTATAAATCTATTGTATAACATTTTGCCTATACTTACTCATACTTATTGTGCATTTAGTGATTTTTTTATTAAGAAATAAAGTTTTATCTTTTATTGTAGCTACTTACTCTTTTAAGTACTAGAATAGTTTTCTTAATCTAAATGAGTGTACTAGATAAAAGTTGATTTGACATTCTCTTCTATTTCCTTAGTAATCCTCTTTTCTAATGAAAGCCTTTTCTCTATTCGCCTGGAAATTCTCACGTTTCAGATATTGGTTCACATTATAATGTACAGGTATAGAGGCAGGGTCAGGAGCTCTGGATGGCCTCCCTCAGCAATGACCCATGAAGGCCAGTGTCTCCCTTCCCTGGTCCGCCTCACCCTTTCCAGAGGCCTGAGGGATGCAGGTGTCCTCAGCAGTGAGTAAAGCATGGGAGCAAGTGTTCCTGCCACAGTTGGTGTTGTCACCGTATTTTTGGCATTTCACTTCCCACTATTCTTAACCTACTTAATAGCAAAGAGAAGTAGAAATAATGGGCTCCTTGGCCAGTGTCTGCTTTAGTCCCTGTCTCACAAGAAACTTTTCAGTTCTCTATTTCTAGGAGGTCCGTGCTGGGAGGTGGGAAGGGATTCAAAGATAGATAATAGATACATCCACTCTCTCTTTCTCTCTCTTTGTCTCTCTCTCCATCTCTCCTGACCTCCACCTACAACCCTCCCCCAACCCCCAGTCAACACATACTCCTCTCTCATAGATACTGAGGGAAACAAATTCTCATTTATAGTCTCTTTAACCTCTGCTTTCCTGTCACCCTATTGCCGCAATGACTGAAGACATAACTCATTAAGAAAAACTTGTACTTGTGAAATTTACAACAGCTGTCTCTCCAAGGATATTCATGGGTTGTGTTCCCTGCAATGTCCAAGCTCCCAGTTCAAAATGTGAAACAACTTACTGGAAAAAGTACCTGAGTTATCAAACACAACGGAAAAGTTCTTAACATTAAAACGTCTTGTGGGGAGGGGTGGGGGGTTGGGGGGTTGGGGGGAAGCATCCACTGCCCAAACTGAAGGCCATTTAAATTGCTTCTTCTCTGAAAATATCCTGAGAAGAGATTCTGGATCCATGTGAAAAGTTTATTAGGCATTAGGTGTGGGTTTTCTCATGTTGTAATATCAGCAATAGGGTTACCTTCTCCATCTTCTGAAGTACTCAGTGACAAATACTTACCTTGTAAGATAGTGCTGGTCCCTTAATTTGGAGATATTTGTACAAAATATAAATCTTAAAGGTGACAGTTCAATAGCATTTCAGGGAAAAAGTAGGCCTCATCCTGCAGGGTCATTGATGGGAAATGAGCTGGCAGTGGTGTCTAGAGCTATCATAAATTGATGACCAGAAATTTCTAAATCATGGGGACCTGAGATCCCTATTGGGGTAGAATCACATGATATGAACTTAATTATACCAAATTCCAACAATTATCTGTTTTGCCCAAGATTTATGATGGGGAATCTATTGATGCTGACTTGTAGTTTCTCCATAATGTCCAGTTACATGTCTGTTTTCTATATCATACATATAACAACTCTACCAGTCTTGCTGTGCTATGAGCCTTCTCAGACCAAGTGATTCATCTAGTCACCCTGGGTTGGAAAGTGAGGTGTTGTTTATTCTTCTCAGGGTAGTTTGTTTCTGGACATTATTTTAAAGGAATGTATAAATTAAATTTTCTAATTATTAGTTTATAAAATATAATTGCCTTTCAATATTGGTTTGAAGACTTATAACTTTAATTCACTTATTAATTTTAGTTTGTTCCTGTGGATTTATTTTCATATTCTACCTAAACTTTTATATTACCCATAAATAAAGACTGTTTATTTCTTCTGTTACAATATTTGTATTTTTACTTGTTTTTCTTGACTCACTTCTTAGGGTAGGGTCTACAGCTTAATGATGAATACAAAGGATGAGTGTTGACCTGTTTTTTGAAATGTTCCCAATCAAAAATAGAATGTGTTCAATATTTGACCACTGTGTACGATGTTAAATGTAGGCTCTCTCTTATTTCGTCTTATGAGATTGATATTTCTAAGTTATTATTATCATGATCAGGTATTGGATTTTGAGTGATGCTTTTCTGTGTGTATTGAAATAAACATTCAATCGTTACCACTTTGTTTCTCATTTTATTCAGCTACTTTATGTTATTATTGTTTCATATTAGTAGTTCTGGGTTTAAGCTTATTACTTTGATATTTTTTACAGATTTTTGAGGACTGGTTAATTATTTTCATATTGGATAATGTCTATTAATCTACTTTAAATTCCAGTTAGTCTCTCTTTTATGATCCTGAATTTTTCAAGAGCCAACCCTGGATTTCTTTTTAGAGTGATCATATTTTGTAGTTTTAGTATTTCAATTAAAAACAAAAACGATTTGTTTTTGATTTCTGACATGTCTTATTTAGGATTATTATATTTTCTTCTACATAATTTGTAGATATAATAGCTGCTGTGAAGTTTTGTTGTTGTTTTTCACTAAATACATCTGGATTATTTCAAAGTTAGTCTCAATTGATCGTCTTTTCCGTTGAATAATGGAAAGACTTTCCCATGGGAATGTCCTCTACTTTTCTCATATGTTGAATAATTTTAGATTCTCTCTAAAATTCCCTCAGAGGAATTTTGTTAATGAGATGTAGAGACCCTGGATTCTATCTTTCTGAAGAATATTATTGTTTGTTTGTTTGTTTATTTCTTTTAAGTAGGTAAACTTGATT